CCGGTTCCCCCCCGCCCTCTCCTGCCGCGGCCCGGGAACAACCCAGGGGGCTGCTGCGGGCATTTGCTTTCCTTTGGCGCCTCCCGGAAGCAATTTATGCCGAGAGACTGCGAATGTCGTTCTTGTTGCCTTCACCGTCGGTGACATTCGGTTTAGGAAGGCCGACTCCGCGTGGCTCCCAGACGTCCTGTGTAAAATAGTCCGTGGGCCGTTGTTCTTATGGGTTTGGGTCTCAGATAAAGCTTGGCAGGAGGTTGGCTGATTTACAGGGAAAACATTCTGTAAACTTGGTTAACTTAAGAAATATGGATTCTAAGAGAAACATCCATTTTATGCTACTAGGAGTGTTCTTAGATTCAAAATGTTAGCTAAGATTTAGATTCCTCACGGTGAACTTTATTTAAATACCTTTATTTGTCACTAGTTAGGGAAATTCTTTTGTTTTGGAGGGTGCACATTTCTTTAAAAGAAATATATATGTGTATCACCGGGATGGGCCACCACCCGGGCATGTGCCCCGCCCACCGGGAATGGAACTTGCACCTCCCCGTCCATAGGTCAGCGCTCCACCACCGAGCCACGCCAGCCAGGCAGAGTGCACGTTTCTTTTTGAAATATTTTCAGTTGCTTTTTATAAAGGATCATTAAAATAATGACTTTGGAGCCACTGAGGTCCCAGCACGAAGCCATCGAAATGATTCAGCATTTTGTATGGAATACCCAGTAGAATTACTCCCGAGACAGGGAAGCAAGAGGTTCTAAGTCGCTCCCACCTTCAATAGGGAACAAGAGATACAATAACGTTCTTGTAGCACCACTTGTCTACATGCTACTTACCCTCTTCATTTCTACAACAGAGAATAGGTATATGTCTTAAATCGCCGAGTACAGTGGGAAGGAATAGGTATTTATGTCATTACAAATATGTGATCACAAAACTGATCACTGCAGTCAAGGAAAAAGCCCCGAAATCACACAGCCAAGGGCTCCTGACCTAGGGACGGTGTGGAGGGGAGTCGGAGAAGACCCCTGGGAAATGACATATCCTGGGAGCTGAGGAATGAATAGCAGTTTAAGTTAGATAAAGGTTGGGGTTGAGAGGATCCTTGCAGTAGAGCTAACTGCACTTGAAAAGGCCATTAGGGTAGAGAGATGGGGAAGGTGCAACTGGAAAGGTAGACAAGGATTCGTCTATGTAAATTCTACCCATCCTTTGGATCTCAGTTGAAATATTGCTACTTCACAGTGGTTGACCCTGACCACCCAATCTAATTCAGGCTTTTCTCTGATAATCATCTATTTCATCCTTTACTTTCACTTTGTAATACGTAGGGTTTTTGGTTAATTATACTTTTATTTGTTTAAAGTCAGTCTTCCCATTAGACTGCAAGTTCCATGAAAAGGACCAGGGAACCACACGTATTGGATACACTACTGGTTTCCTAGCATTTACTACAGTGTCTCCCAAGGAGTCAGTGTGAAAGAATAAGTTTAGCTTATAAGAGTATATACTAAACTTTATTTTTTTTTCTCTCCCCTCCTCCTTAGTGTCTTGCTTTCCATGACATTTCCCCTCAAGCACCAACACATTTTCTGGTGATACCTAAGAAGCATATATCCCAGATTTCTGTAGCAGAAGATGATGATGAAAATGTAAGTAAATTTACTAGCACAATATTCATTTTCTTGCTATTTATTTATGTTTAATTCTCACCAAAAGATATTTTTTCCATTGATTTTTTAAAATATATTTTATTGATTTTTTACAGAGAGGTAGGAAGAGGGATAGAGAGTTAGAAACATCGATGAGAGAGAAGCATCGATCAGCTGCCTCCTGCACACCCCCTAAATGAGGATGTGCCCGAAACCAAGGTACATGCCCTTGACCAGAATCGAACCTGGGACCCTTGAGTCGACAGGCTGATGCTCTGTCCACTGAGCCAAACCGGTCAGGGCATCCATTGATTTTTTTTTTTTTAAGAGTGGAGGGAGAGGAGGGGGTGGAGAGAGAGAGAGGGAAACATGATGTGAGAGAGACACATTGATTGGTTGCCTCCTGCACATGTGCTGACCAGGGCCAGGGATAGAACCTACAACCGAGGTAGGTGCCCTTGACCCGGAGTCAAACCCAAGATCCTTCAGTCCTTGGACCGATGCTCTAATTACTGAAGCCAACCAGCCAGGGCTTATTTTCTTGCTTTTTAAATTGGGAGATTAAATTTTGACCTTAAACTGAGGTTACATTTTCATTTTACTAATTGCATTACTGAGGAAAACAAAATCATTAGGGCTTCAATATAATAATATAGTTTTATTTTTTAAAGAATGAGATATAATTGATATATTAGTTTTAGGTATATAACAATGATTTTATAGGTAGATAGATAGATAGATAGATATTATGAAACAATCACCACAATAATTGTAGTTAACATCCATCATCACAAATTATTAAGCAGAAAGGGTTCCCCATAAAGATTAGTTGATGAGATTCATTTTTCCTCAACAAAGAAATAGCATATCATATAGGAGAGGGTTCATGGACTCTTCTGTTAATACTGTTAGAGGAAAGAAAAATAATGTTTTGGTTTTACCAGGAGGTACAGGCCTCAAAACTTTTTTTTGCCAATGTTCTTTGTGGTAAATTGTATAATTGCTTATAAATATTCATTATTCTTTAGGGGTGTATTATACTTGCTGCCTCAATGTCAGGACTGGTGCTATGACTTGGTTTGGCCAATGAATGCAAGCAGAAATGATTTATGTTTTCTGAGTGGAAACTTTAAGAGCTAGCACATGGTTTGCCATCTTCTCTCTCCCCTCTGCCACTATAATCATTATAGAGCCTGCTCCATCAGCCTGGGTTTCAAAGAGAAAAAGATATAGAAATAGAGCCTGGTCAACTTGTGATGAACATGTAGTAAACACAAGATTTGGAGGTGGTTTGTTACCACAGCTTAATCAAATCTATCCTGATACACTGCCCCATAACAAGAAAGGGAGATGTCTTACTTTATTAAGAACATTTAAATACCACTTGCAATTTGATTTAAAAATTGTTTTAATTAAGCAGTAGATTTCTGTTTCCAATTTTTAAATTGAAATTAGAAATGAATAAATATTTAATCTGACTGGGTTTTTAATTGTAAGTTATGTTGTATTAGGCTGAAAAGAGCTTCCAAATATTTGTCCAAAGGAGTATGTTTTTACCTAGCAGTTTTTAAATTTAATATTTCTTCTTGGTAGTTTGTTATTTAATGACAAGAAGTTGTAAACTGCCCGTGCTTAAGAAACTTTTTCTTCTTTTTCAGCTTCTTGGACATTTAATGATTGTTGGCAAGAAATGTGCTGCTGATCTGGGCCTAAAGAAGGGTTACGGCATGGTAGTGAATGAAGGCACAGATGCGGGGCAGCCTGTCTATCATGTTCATCTTCATGTTCTTGGAGGTCGGCAGATGAATTGGCCTCCTGGTTAAGCATGTTTTAGGGGTAATTTTCCTTGCTGTTGGCAATGATCAGTTTTGCAAGTTCTAATATGCTAAACAGTACATTTTATTTTTGCCTGTGTACGGAGTGATCCAGGAAATAATTTCTAAAACCCATACATAATAAAAGACATCATTGCATGTTCTGAATTCTGTTTTTGATTTATTGCTTTAAAAATATATATGCTGGGATGTATGAAGGGATCATAATTTTGTAGTTTTGTTTTTTTTTTCTCCCCAAGGAGGATCCACATATGTACATTGTTATAGTAGTGTGACTGCTCTTTGAAGACAAATTTAAAAATTATAAATTTAGCTTTAGCTTTGAAATATACTTTTAATCCAGGAGAAAATTTACTAATCTAGTTCTCTTATAATCTAAGAATAAAGGAATATGTGACATGATTGACCCAGAAAGTGACAGTTTTGGGTTTAGAAACAATGTTTTTTGACCAGGCCATATGTTTCCCCTGGATTGTTGGGATAATTTGGAAAGGATGAAAGTAGTTTTGTCACAGAATTTTGATGACCTTTGTGAAACCATACATTGGTATTTCCTTATCTAAATTCTGGCTGAATATTTATTATAAAGACTTGAAAACCTATTAGAATTGACTTCACATTGAAATTTTATAGTTTTGAATGTGTATGTGCATGAATCTGGCTATGTGGAATAAAGGAGGGAATCTCAGAGTCTGAGTTCTCCTTATGTAGACTGACAACCAAACAAATATTTTTTTAATCCTCATCAGAAGACATTTTTCCATTGATTTTTTTTTTTTTTTAATTAAGAGAGAGTGGCAGGGAGGAAGAAGGAGGGGGGAAGAGAGAGAGAAAGAAACATTGACTGATTGCCTTCCAGTGGGGCTAGGGATCAAACTTGCAACCCTTTGGTCTGTAGGCCAACACTCTAACCACTGAGCAAAATGCCAGGGCCAACTTTTGTTTTTAGTCTTGCCATGTACCCTAGCCTTTCTGAAGGCCACTTTAGTAGGGTTTGACACATTTAATTGAAAATTGTTTTTCTTCTTAATTTTGTTAGTGATTTTAGAATCATTTTGGGGGGCAGGAATTAGGGAAATTGATCATTTATTGTCTTAAAAATAATTTTTCCCAATTGTCATTTTTTACTTTGTTTATGGTGTTTAAAATATTTGTACAGTTAATGTATTGATTTTTATTTCATATTTTAGAAAGCCTTTTTCCCATCCCAGGAGGATTTTAAAAAATTGTTATTTTTCTCCCCAATACTTTTATGGCCTTATGTACTTTTATGACTTTTCTTAAGTGGGGGAAGGTCTGAGGAAGAGTTTTAGAGGGTTTGTGCCACTGTAAAGAATGTAATGAGAAGCATTTGTATTGTGTGTAAGAGGCTTCAGTCAGCTTTCTTTAGGTATATTTTTTACTAATTTAATCAGACCAGTGCTAATAAATCAGGTAGACAACTGCTAATGTGTCTTGTGCTTGTGTCTGTGACTTTTCTGCCTAACATGGTTCTGAGACAAAATTTTCAATGTGTGAAGGGGGTGGGGTTTCCACACAGCTCCAGTTATTCACTAGACACCAGCAGAGTGTCTTTCAGTTAAACTCAGAGATAGTGTCAGATTCCATGGGTTAAGGGTTCAGTCCCACAAGACTCCCTGCTCCCCTTGCCAGATACAAGTCCAGGTTATTATTGGTGCTTTGAACCAAACTGGCTATAAATCAGAGGTTCCTAAGATCCCCTCCTTGGGTTCATTAATTTTCTAGAGCAGGTGCGGGCTCTCCCTCCTGGGAGCACACTCCTCCCTTTCTCTCCCCCCTCTTCCCCCACCGGTGCATGCATCTTCTAAATTCTAAGAGATCCCATAACACTTGCAATCAGGGAAGCAATGGGCAGTGGCCCCTTGTCCTGGGCTAATCCATGGACCTGTCCCCTTTTCTCTGTCTGACTCCAGTGAGCTGAGAGCAGCCCTACCTTGGCTCACTTTCTTTTTTTCTTTCAAATCCTCACCCAAGGATATTTTCCCATTGATTTTTTAGAGTGGAAGGGGGAAGGGGGTTGGAAAGAGAGAAACATCCTTTGGTTGCCTCCCACACACACCCTGACCCAGGCCAGGATCCAGCCTCTGAGCCTGCAACAGAGGTATGTGCTCTTGACTGAAATCGAACCCATGACCCTTCATTCCAAGGGCTGGTGCTCTCACCACTGAGCCAAACGGGTTAGGGCTTGGCTCACTTCTTTCCCATAATGTTTCTAGAGAGCCAAAGCAGCTCTGCCTAGGCCAGCCGTGGGCAAACTATGGCCCGCGGGCCGAATCCGGCCCGTTTGAAATGAATAAAACTAAAAAAAAAAAAAGACCGTACCCTTTTATGTAATGATGTTTACTTTGAATTTATATTAGTTCACACAAACACTCCACCCATGCTTTTGTTCCGGCCCTCCGGTCCAGTTTAAGAACCCATTGTGGCCCTTGAGTCAAAAAGTTTGCCCACCCCTGGCCTAGGCTCTCTCCTGTTGCTTCTGTCATAAGCTCTTCCTTGTTTCACTGTCCCAACTTCAATAAACATACTCTCAAAATTAAAAAAACAAAAAAACTTGCTAGAGCAGCTCACAGAACTGAGAGACAGTTTCTCCCATCAAAGAATAGCGTGGAAAGGAAAATGCCAAAAAGTTACATGCCACAATTATGTCCCCTTTTGAAGGAGCTTTTCTAGAAGTCCCACAACCCCTATTTATATATCATTGGCCACCTGAAGCTATAAGAGAAGCTGGGTACCTTGCCATCCAGAAGGGAATGGAGGTGGGGTAGATATTGAGAGACAAGTTGCAGTCTCTGCATGGGTTTTAGTTTAAGAAAACAAGTGGTTAATCCTTTCTCGAATACATACTGCAAGTATGTCAAGAGTTGATATCTATCCTCTGAATATCAATCAGTCCCTTCTTCGGTAAAGCAAACAATATGAGAACACCAGCTGATCATAGTAACTGCTTCTTGAGTTGCTTTCTGATATACAGGATCACTTAATAAAGAGATTTTTGCCTGGAATAGTGCATTAAGTTTTCTCCCTGAGTATATTTATTATAATTATAGCTGGTTCTATAAGCTCAGAAATAGTGTGACTTGTACATGCATTTGTTTGTTTAGAGTAAATGCTGATGTTTCTACAGCAGGTTTTTCTCTTTGTTTCATACTGAAGATTGTTTTGCACTTGTCCTAGAAAAATGCAGTTGGTTTAACATGGATTCATTGTACTTTGTTTGAAAATGAAAGCTTGGGTGGTTACTCTAAACAGTCAAGATTATTGATTTATAATTTCAAGTAAAATCCACCTTTTAATAAGTTTTGATAAATGTACATAGTCATGTATCCAACACAACAATCAAGATGTGCAATATTTTAGTCATTCCAAAAAGACTTGTTAGGAGGTCATTTTATAATCCACGCAGGAGATGATGGTAACTTGGACCAGTAGTGATAGAGCTGATAAGTGATCAGATTCAGCATGTATTTGAAGGTAAAGCTGGCAGGATTTGCCAATGGGTAAAATATGGGAGTAAGAGAAAGAGAGGAGTCAAGGATTTATTACTTTTCAAGTTTCTGTAGACTGACTGGGCTTTCTCTGCTGCTTTTACATGACCTTAGTCATGTTGCTGTGTTCTGTTGAAAGTTGGAGGGTTCAAAAGGAGCCCACTCAGGTGTCTCACAGTTGGCACTGGCAATCATCTGGGGTCCTTTGATTCTCCTCGGTATGGCCCCTTATTTACCTTTAGGCTAGACCAGCTTACATGGTGGTCGGACAATAATAAATAACCCCAAATGTAGTTTTAAACAATTACAATGTGTTATTTCTTATGATTTCACTAGAGGCCTGGTGCATGAAAATTCATGCACTGGAGGGGGCCCTCAGCCCGGCCTGCCCCCTCTCACAGTCTGGGAGCCCTCAGGGGTGGGAGGCGACCTGGCGATCAGGGGAAGGTGACGCCCCATCACACCTCTGCTGCTGCCACTGCCGGCAGCGCAAGCCTCGGCCGGCCCTGGTTACCTGAGCCTCGGGTGGCCCTGGGCAGCTGGGCAGCTGCCATCCGAGGCTTGCCTGCACCTCGGGCCAGCCCTGGGCGGCTGGGGGGCTGAGGGGATGTGGGGACTCCGGAGACAGGCGCACTGGCAGGGCTGAGGGGACTGGGCGCCGCCATCTTGTGGCTGTGGGCGCCACCATCTTTGAGGGCATGGCAGTCAATTAGCATATTCCCTCCTTATTGGCTGTGGGTGCCACCATCTTTGAGAGTGGGACAGTCAATTAGCATAATCCCTCTTATTGGCTGTGGGTGCTGCCATCTTTGTGATGGTGTGAGGGTCAATTAGCATACTCCCTCTTTAATAGATAGGATGATTTTGTGTGTTGGTTGGGCAGTTCTGTTTATCTTGCCTGGACTCACTCAAGTAGGTTGGATGAAATGGATTCAGCTGGGACAAATGGAATGGCTTAGCCTCTTTCCATGTTGTCTTTAACCCCAAGCTTCTTCATAATTTAATGTTCTTAGGGCAACATTTCAAGAGGGTAAAGCAGATATTGCAAGGCCCCTGTAGGCTTAGGCTTCAGAACTCAAATAACATCACTTCCACCACAAAGCAAGTTAAAAGGCTAGTTTAGATTCAAGGATTTGGAGAAGTAGATTTAACTTATGGGAGAAGTAGAAAAGCCACATTGCATAGGGGTGAGGCAATCTGGTATGCATGGTAGCCAATGTGTAAAGAACCCATAGACTCTTATAGAAAGGACAATGGCTGTGGCAGGTCCTCTGAAGTGTTATACAGGCACCTTGCTTGACTGGTATAGTGCACCTGAAAAAGTTGTAGTGTGTATAAATATCAGGCTATAATTAAGTATGCAAGAAATATACCTCTAATTGATTTTCTATAACAACTTATTTTCTGTTTTGAGTCTCTGATCCATCAATTTTAGTTAATTTAGAATTTCTCCCTATCCCTGGGGTTGTACCTAATTTCTGGAAAGTCTTATATAGTATCATGGCATCAGAAGGGGCCATCTAGGCCTCTTTGTCATTGGTCTCTACAGTCTACCTGGCACTTTCGTTATCTTGATTATTCCTTATCTATTGATCCCTTAGGTTGATATTTTGTAGTGATAATGACCATGAATATGATAGTAGTTATGATAGCTTTATAACAGTATGCATAGCAATTGCTATTTGTTTAGTGCCTGCTGTGAGATAGGCACTGTGCTAAAAACCAAAACAGCACTCTGTGCAACTATTCCAGCCTGTGGCATTTGCCAGAGCATTATATGTGTAATGGACACTTGTAATTATTGATGTTCAGCATTTGAACCCACTTGGTATTTGAGGGATGCCTTGCCTCTCCCAAGAGAAGTTGAAATGAACAGACACCTAATATTCTAGCTCCTCTGCCAGCTGGGATGTAGGCACTTGTCTTAGACTCTGCCAATCAGATGCACTCATCTGGGATTTTGAATTTGAAACTAATGACACAAAGAAACAAGGACAGTGGAGATTTCTTTCTGGTGTCAGTGCCAGCGGCAGCCAGTTGGCAGGCACAACAGTGTCTGTGTTGCCAACCTTTGGATCTAGTATTGAATACCAGGGGTGACAACAGAGCAAGCTGCAGTCTCTGTGCTCAGTGGCAGCGGTAGCAGTGTACCAACAGGCAGCTTTCTGGTTCTATTTGTGACTGGGTATTATTTGCATAGCTTCTCTTTATTCTTGCCTATTTTCTCAGTTAATCTGGAGCTACCATTAAATATTGTTCCAAGAGATTAACTACTGGGTAAAATTTTACCAGGAATGGTTAGTTGTAGGCAATAGATCCTCAGGGAAAGGTGATGGTGGTTGGCAGGGTGCCTGGAAAGCGGAGTTTCGTTATTACCTGGTTTGAGATAAAGGCGAAGAGAATTCAGCTAACATTGAGGAACTGAATTTTCACAGCCCAGGGTAAATAGTAGCAAAGTAGCTAATTAAATTATTCCATGGGTCACAAGTACTGATATGCCAACTGAAGTCAACCCTTTGGGCTTCCAAGTGCTACTGCCATAGGTGGTATGAAGAGTAGGTAGAACTCAAGGATTATTGAGGTGTTGTCATTGCTTCTAATATTGCCAAACATCCTAAAGAAAGAATAGCAAGCTAAGATTTCTAAATTATTAGTTTATCAATCAAAACCTAAGGGATCTCTATGACTGTGTTATAAAAAATTAATGAGGTTTTCAAAAACACATAAGCTCTTGCAGCTGAAGAATTCAAATAGTTGTAAGCCTAACACAACATTTGGTCCTCAATGTTGCCAACTTTTATTTTAATTCATGGACTGCCTGGTCTCATATGAGGAAGTTAGGTTATTGATCATGAAAGAGTGGTATCTGAATATTTGGATTGAGCTATATTGAGGAATTTGGCTGACTCGGACCACCCCAAATTCCCAACCTACTAAGCC